TCCGTCTCAGAAAAAAAAAAAAAAAAAAAAAGAGTATGTAGGATAAGATTAGAGAGCTCCCATAAATACCATGTTTTGAAGGAAGGACAGAATAAAGATCATTTGCAAAGTATGAGCCCACCAGTCCGAGACCAGCCTAGGCAACATAGTGAGACTCCATCAGTTTATAAAAAAGTTAATGTATGAGCAGTGCCCATAGCTCAGTGGATAGGGCGTAGGCCACATACACCCAAGCTGGCAGGTTTGAACCTGGCCTGGGCCAGCTAAACAATGACAGTCGCAACAAAAAAAAACAGCCGGGCGCTGTGGCAGGCACCTGTAGTCCCGGCTGCTTGGGAGGCTGAGGCAAGAGAATTGCTTAGGCCCAAGAGTTTGAGGTTGCTGTGAGCTGTGACCCCACAGTACTCTGCTGATGTATGGTAGTAGCTAAAACTAAAACTAGAAGGAAATATTGGAAAAATTTTTAGTGACTTTGGTGAAGAGTTCTCATACAGGTTTTTTAAATTTAATTTTTTTTTTTTTTTTGAGACAAGGTCTTGCTCTGTTGTCCAGGCTGGAGTGCAGTGCCCAATAATATAGCTCATTGTAACCTCAAACGCCTGGGCATCAGTGATCCTTCTGCTTTATCCTCCCTAGTACTGGGACTACTATAGGTATGCACCATCATTTCTAATTTTATTGACTGGTTTGATTGTCAGGGTCTTGCTCTGTCACCCAGCCTGGAGTACAGTGGTCAACCAAGAAGGATAGAAATTGGTGTATAAATATCTGAGCCCTTGGGACCTCTTAGAATAACTCTGAGGTATGTGCTGTATATTTACCAAAATGGTTCCCCAGGGGGATTACAATAATAACTTCACAACACTTTTTTTTTTTAATTGTTGGGGAATCATTGAGGGCATAACACACCGTTTATTGGCTTCCTTCCTTTCCCTGTTCCTAGTTCTTGAAATCACCTCTCAAATAACGTCTTTGCACTCAAATCCATATCTCATTTCTTCTGGGAAAGCTCAAGTGTTAGGAGAGATGAACTTAAAAGAGACAGCAAAGGAAAACAAAATAACTTGTTAAAACTTTGGTTAACCACTTAACGAGACTTACCATAAATGCCTCAGGACCCAAACCTGAACTTTGCTCCCTTCAGTTTAAAAAGGTGCCAGACCAAAGTGGAATTTGAATAAAACATTATGTCTAGACTGCCTTACAAGCTACTCTTCTGTCGATAAAATGTTAACCAAATGTCCTCTAAACATTGTTAGAAGTGGAGACCTTCATCAATTTCTGGTTAAATGTTTTAATCGAACACAACCCTTTAGTCTCTCTCTCCCTTGACCCCATTAAAATGACAGTAAACTATAAAAGGCATAATTCCATACTGACAAAGCTAGAGTCAACAGAACAGATGAGAAAAAAGTGCAGGGAACAGAATAAAGGAAAATGTTAGAAATTGTTAAGCAATTTCTTCTAGAAATTTATTCCACAGATATATTCACGTGTGTGCAATGACATTTAAGGTTACTCATTAACTTTGAACTATTAGAAGTAACCTAAATCTCCATCATTGAAGGGCTGGTTATGTATGTAACTATAGTTGACCATTGTATAACATAGGAGTTAGGGAAGCAGACCCCTATGCAGCTGAAAATTTGTGTATACCTTTTTTTGGAGTGCCATGGCGTCCTAGCTCATAGCAACCTTGAACTCTTGGGCTCAAGTGATTCTCTTGCCTCAGCCTCCCAAGTAGCTAGGACTATAGGCACCCACCACAATGCCTGGCTATTTTTTAGAGATGGCGGTCTCACTCTGCCTCAGGCTGGGCTCAAACCCTTAAGCTCAGGCAATCCACCTGCTTCCGTCTCCAAGAATGCTGGGATTACAGGTGTGATGTGTATAACTTTTGACTCCCCCCAAACTTTACTAATAGTCTACTTATTGTTCACCAGAAGCCTTGCCAATTGTCAACATTTTGTATGTTCTATGTATTATATGCATGTATTAAGCTAGAGAAAATGTTATTAAGGAAATCATAAGAAAAAATAAATTTACTGTTCATTAAGTGGAAATGAATCATCATAGAGGTCTTCATTCTCATCACACTAGGTAGGCTGAGGTAGAGGAGAAAGACAGGATATTGGTCTTGCTTTCTCAGGGGTGGCAGAGACAAGAAAATCCATGTACAAGTGGACCCGCACAGTTCAAACTTGTGTTGTTCAGGGATCAGCTGTGTAATATAGTTATACAACAGAACACTCCAAAGCAGTACAAATGAATTGGTAAACTCTAAGATATAGAACCCAGTCTGAGATAAATTATTAGTGTGTGTAGAATGCTACTGAGTGTTAAAATGGACTAAAGGATATCTGTATATTTCCTGGTATATAGATAGAATATCTCTGGAAAGATACAGAAGCTGCTCCTTTTTCTTAATGTATAGAATTTACATAATTTTATCAGTTACATATATGCTTTTTTTTTTGAGACAGAGTCTCACCTTGTCACACTCGGTAGAGTGCTGTGTTGTCATAGCTCACAGCAACCTCAAACTCTTGGGCTGAAGTGTTTCTCTTGCCTCACCCTCCCAAGTAGCTGGGATCACAGGCTCCCACCACAATGGCTGGCTGTTTCCAGAGATGGGGTCTCACTCTTAGTCAGGCTGGTCTCTAACTCCTGAGCTCAAGTAATCCACCCATCTCACCCTCCCAGAGTGCTGGTATTACAGATGTGAGCCACCGCACCCAGCTTGCTTATATGCTTATTTTCCATATCTAATGTTTTCTTCCAGGGGTAGGATGCTCCCATAGCTATGACATTCCTGGCTTTAGTAGAGGCAAAAGACTTGCTTGATTGGTGACTTTGGTCTAAGTGAACAATACACTTGGCTCAGCTTCTTTTTCTCTGGGAGCACAGAGCATTTATGTCCCTTCTGCTTCTCTTGGCTCAGGAGCAGGCTGAAGTCAAATTATCAATCAGGTGAATAAAGACATCGTGGGAATGAAAGTTCTCAAATTTACCTCCAGTCATTCTGTCTCAGAAACATACTAAAAAAGCTCCCAATTCTAATGTGGGAAACGAACCAGGAAAAGGAGACAGATAGTATATAGGAAACAGAGGCTTCACCATGAGAAGGACCATGGGGGTTCCCAGATGTTGAAAGGAACTCCTAAAATACTTATTACCTGTATGGTGGACCTAGATTAGAACATCAGGATGGTTGGTGATCTTCAAAAAGAAACAAGCTGACACTCTATGTGTAATTGTATTGAGAGATGTTAAACATATTGAGGAAAGTTTGGGAATAAATTAGCGACAGGTTTTCAGAAAACAAAGCAAGAAACAAAATTCCAGAGAAAACAGTTGTACAAGGAAGGAAATAAA